CGGGAGTGGCGGTTTTTCAAGCACTCGGCAAGGAAAAATGATTCATGCTAGGCAACGTGGCAGTTTTCTGCAATGAGCAATCCCATGAAGAGGTAATTTGCGCCTGCTACAAACTGACTACACAGCAGTTAACTGAATTCAGTTAAAACTCGACCTTCCTTCTGTAGGGGAATTTTCTAACACAGAGACTTTCAGCGCTAACTGAAAGAATATTACGGGGGCAGGCAGTGTCTGAGGTTGAGTTTAGTAAAATTGCCCCACGGCTAGTCAACACCTCGGACAACCATGTTTGCTCACCAGACTCCTATCTCTGTTGTCTGAAAAACTTCCTCCTTCAAGACCCCTCCGAACACCCTTTGTGGATCTCACATTAGTAGTCGATGTACAGATTTACATGTACTGGTACCCAGTATTCCTCAGAGAGAATCATATTTATAGTTTAAAGAAAAGACGCCTGGATTATGCTTCAAAATAATTAGTATTGCAGCCCTGCCATTGATGGTTTTTTGAGCACAAGGCGGGAGAAGCACGATTCATGCTAGGCAAAGTCGCCGTCTCCCGCAATACGTAATGGCAAAAAGTGGGATTTGGGGCCTGTTGCAAACTTAGGATGCAGCGAAAGTGAATTCGCTTAAAAATTATCCTTCCTTCTGCAGGGGGTGTCCTCTGATGTTGACGCTAGCTACCTATCAACGCAGAACATTTCAGCGCTAAATGGGAAGATATGAGCGGACAAGCCATGTCTGAGGTAGATTGAAGTAACATGAGTAGTATTTCGACATGGCAGATCAACGTACGTAGGATTATCAAGAACCTTCAGCAGGCTCCTATCTCTGTTTCCTGAAAAACCTCATCTACCCTGTTTTCGGCAATTCATCAGGGACTCTGCACATTTAGATTGGTAATTAAGATATCAGAGTTAGATAGAGTTTATAAATGTCTAGGGAGTAACATTCATCGTTCTCACACCGCCCGCACGACGAGGATGGCATGCTGGGATCAGCGGGACTAGGGGTTGGGGGAATTAGGGTAGTCTCTGAGCAATGTTCACAGGTTGAGTATACGAAACGAACAACACTTTAAAGTGCGTGGCGTACATAGTTTTCATGAGGGGTGGGAGGGATCGAAAAACTACCATCCCCTGACGTCGGCGTTGGCCCCGGACAACAAAGTGCAGGCATATCGAGGTCTTAGTGAGATTCCTAGTCGCATAGCGAACAGGCCAGTCCTTTGATCTAACTGCTGATCGCTTTAGAGCAACAAATAACTGTCGGAAGCGAGGGTGGACAACAGGAAAAGTAGAGTTAGATGATCAATTATAGTATAGTCCAACCTGGAGATATTCCAGGAAAGTCAATATGCCGACTTTTAAGCAAATTTCTCACTGAACGCCCGAAAAACATGCATTGAGTGAAAGATGGCTACTTAAGTAGCATATACTTTTTCAGTATTCAAATATACGTATATCTTTAAGTATTCAAATATATATTATAGAAAAACATGCGTAAAAATATACTTTTCCTGTGCTCATTTGGTAGGAAATTATGCCTCCTTGAAGTTGTATATTTGAAGTAAAGGGTGGCCGCCGCTTTTAAAACTTTTCTAAATTGAGGAATAATTTTCGATTTAATTCGAGGTTTCCAAACTACATGCTATACCCATTTTACCTAAGGAAAAGTACATTTTCCCTACCCTGTTGCGAAGGAGTTAAATTGCTTTCATTCAATTGTGCAATGGATGTATATCCTGTCACATTCCTCACAGGCAACATTCATGAATGGACAGTTCATGGTCGTAAATCTGATAAATCGCAGTTTAAAGAAAGCATAATATGCTACTAAGCGAGTGAAACTGAGAATAGTTTTGCGCATGGCGTTCTTAAACTATATTTAAAGATACAAGGACTCAAAAAATTTACGAGAAAATGCATATCCACTAAGTAGCTATTTATTACAGAGGATGGTAAGGTAGAAACGCACTCAAAAGCCGACATCCTAAATTGGCTGACATTTTTTGAGATTACGCTGTACGATGATCAGTAGTACAATCCCATTTAAGTAACTTTTTCCAATCAAAAACACACTTCAGAATTTCGGTCTACATTTCCCAAGATGAGCAACCTACTGTAAAGTGTGATGTATTCTTAAGATCGCCTGTATGTCCATAATTTCATTTTTTTAAGTTTAATCTACCCTTTCATTGTAGATCAAGCTCAGCCGAACATACTGTTTGAGCAGAAAACAACTAGAAGTGGGAAAGCTAGTCCGCCTTGAAGGATTCGCACTTGAGATAAGTCGAGGCATCGCCACACACCGACACAAGATCTTCGGTCCGGCAGTTCTTTATTGCATCTGCAGCCCATCTTATCCTAACGCGAGCGGCCACAGTCGACGTCACGTAATGGCAGTCTAGGTCGTCCAGTCGCGCTCGATCCAGCGTGCGACGCGCAACTTTTGCTCTCGTGCGACTGCGACGCACACGCACTCCAGACTGGTTGGGCCAATCATTCTCCTGAAGCTCACTCACACAAAGCCCACTCTGAGCCATTGTGACGATTCCCGCGCTGACGGACAGACCGGAATCCGCCCTGACCGGAAGTGGGCGTAGGGAACGCCATCGGTCGCTGTGACGATCCCGCGCTCTCACACGACCCTCACGGTCTAACGCCATGCCAGACCTAATGGCAACTTCCCCTAAATATTCTCCAACCCTTCTGTGCAAAATACATTGTTCCTACCAAACTGGCTTTCACACGACTTCCATCTTCTCCTAGGGAACCGTGCCTGGAAGATAGCAGTCGTTAGGGTTAACTCTATAAGCCATAACACTACGCTATAGTCCCCTTAAAATTTCAGTATACGGTCTTCGTGCTGCTTAAAAGATTCTAACAGACCACAGTCAAATTTAGCAGAATGCTCTGAAAGCCAGACTGAAGGTTAGTTGCTTCGAGGTCGCGTGAGGGTACCCAGTAATCAACGTCATAAGATAGCAGTAATAAACAAACCAAAAAGTGTATGTTTAACCATCAGATGTCTGTGGTAGGATTAATAAATATCCATGGTTGAACGGAAGCGATAAAAATTCCTTCCTGCTTTCAAAATTTCTTCCGCCATCAGTCAACAATGACATTTCCAAGACCCTTTGACATTTTCAATATTCGCTGATGAACGTTTACAGAGCACTAGTTAGCGCGTTGGACCTCGAGTCACCAGATCGCTCTTTAGCGCCTCGGGTGGGGCATCAATTGGGGTAGGGTATGACTGGCTGCTGAGTCAAAAATTGCAATTACATTTTCCCTTGTCTTCCTCAATAATGTTCGCTTGTCGATATTTGTCCTCTGCATATATAAGTGGTCGTTGTGCCCAAGAACGAGTCTCTAAGCACAACGCCGTAATTATCTCCCTTAATGCGGTCCTGAACGCCCGCAGTCATGGCCTTTTTATATTTAATGTCTATATTTTTATATTTTTACGTATATATTTACGGATATTGGGATGCATAAATAACTCGGCCTTACTTTACACTCTAGGCGTCTAAATCGTAGACGAACGGTTCGCAGTAATGAAGAAGCCGGCTTGGATAAATCGACCAAGACACCTGCTTAAAATAAGCGACTGTGAGTTGGGCGAAGGCACATAATTTTTCTAAAAAAAATAATATCAACTTAGATACTAGTTAAATGAGAAGATTGTCCTTGTCGAAGTTAAGATGGAACTGCAACGCGCAAAAGAACTTCATGCAGACATCACAATTGCCATGGCCCAAAGCCACTAAACCAGATGCCTGCACTTAATTAACCTCCTGGATAGCCACCCTCGCTCCTGACGCTGATCAGAAGTCACTGACTGTCCTTCCGTTCGACTTCTTTCCAACGGCGAATTTTTCTTCTACTTACCCGCATATTTTCCTTATTGCTATAGCAATTTACATGTACGGATCTGAAGGTAGTTAATCGAACAGAAACGTACGCTCGCTCAAGCGTCTTTGGAACTTAACTGAATAGGAAGGTATAGATATGGGCAGATAACCTTTTCTGTATAAGAAGAATTTTCTTTTCCGTAAAAGTCATGTGGGTAGGGCTCATTTGCGGCACCCTGTCATCGTTTCCTGATAACGAGTCACGTTAACGGTTCCATTCGCAATATCTATTTTTGCCAAGGTTGAGTGTGTTCTTAGTGTTTTAACTTTCCATACTAACAGCCCAGGTACTAGATAAAAGGTCCAGACACGATTTTCGCCGGTATTCTGCCGCTGCTTGACACAGCTGCGAGGAGTCCGGCTCATCAGTGGGTCCCCCAGCTTTCCCTGTCTGCTTCCTGGTTGATATACCGGTTTTGAAAGTTCAACGTTTTAATCTCCTGAGCAACTAATTTCTCTTCGCGGTATATATCAGTACATTTAAGGTCTATAGGCGTAGACCAAAATTGTATAAATGCACACCTTGTGGCGTTCAGTAGTCATACTAGCCTTCGAAATGAGAGGGCTCTTTGAGATGCTTCGTCCTGCACATATATCGGCCTGGGTTATGCGTATACATTCATCCACAAAATAAGGTTGTTCATCCAATCGAAAGGAACTTCCACGAGGAAGCTCTGTAAGGAAATTCCGTCTAGAGGGAAAAAAACTTGCTCCAATGGTATTTTTCGTTATTAAATTATATCACGCTTCATCTTCTTATAAAAAACCTCTTCCGGAAACAGGATCATCTTTCAGTGGTGTGTATGGGTTTTCCAGAGGAAATGCATTGTATACGTGGCACAATTATTCTAACTCAAACTAGCAGAGTGCATATTTATGTATAAAGACGGCAAAGCCTATTTTACGCATTTTAGCAATTCACAAAAAACATTCATGTGGCACTCATGGATGGGGTTTCGGCTGTTCTTCACTGAAGCCAGGTGTGGTTGCGAGAGCTGGTCACCTTTATTTCGGAAGAAAATAGCGGCAGTTGAAAATTTAGAAAAATAATTTTCCAGAATCACTACCTGGCTAATTATGAAGGATGGCTTAAATTTGTCGATTGTCCATTCTTAAGGATTCTTTTCTTTAAAAAAAACTTCAATAAAAGATTTTTAAACACATTTACCTAAATACTGAGTTTTTGGACATTCTTCCTTGTGCAGCTGTTTGTTTGGATGAAGTTCTGATTTGAGTTGAGATTTTTTAAAATGTGGCATTTTAGGGGTTTTTTCAGACGGTGTTTATCGTATACATGGCAAAATTAGCTTTACTCAAACTAGCGGGTTCTTTATTTACGCTTAAGGTCTGTTTTGACATTTACAAAAACGTTGCAGCACTTCGTAAACACTGCCGCCCACAAAGCATCCACGTGGCACGCTCGGGTGGTGGCATTTCGGTTGTTCATCCACCTGCCCTAACCTAAAGCAAGATGTTATTGTGAGAGCTGGTCATTTTTATTTCGGGGGGAAATCTCGGCACTTGAAAATTTAGAAAAACAATTCGCAAGAACTATCAACTCGCTAAAAATGGGCTAACATTATCCCTGGCTTCCGGCGGTTGCCTCTATCGCGGCTTGCAGAAATTGTGTGGTTGGGAATCGCACGCAAACACACAGGTGTCGGCCAACGACGCCGCCGGCTCAGGCGCCAGCCAATCAGATCGTCGGAATGGCACAGATAAGTGCACGTGTGACAAAGTCATTCGCTCTGTGCGGGGAGACGCTCCCACACAGTCTAAAATCAATCCTGCGTCCAGGCCTCTAAGTACGATCAAGATCCTGTGGAAAGAAAACGCCTCCATTTATTGCACAAAGGTGTTTTCTTCTTCGAATATTTAATCGTGAATATTCTTGTTTAATTCGCATTTACCGCATGGGTGATCGAAAGTTTGTTTCGCTGTGACGAACAACCGAAACGCCACCACCCATGAGTGCCACGTAGATGTTTTGGGGCGGCAGTATTTGTGCAGGGCTGCAACGCTTCTGTAAATGTCAAAACAGCCCTTGTAGTATTTGCAAGTAAAGAAGGAATCTGGTAGTGTGAGTAAGGTTAATTTTGTCATGTATATGATAAAAGGCGTCTGCAAAACACTCCCTAAAATGCTGTTTCTTAAAAAAGAGAGTTCAGGTCAGATCAGACGTTTACCCAGACAAAAAGCTGCACATGGAAGAATGGAAGAAACCACTAGCAATTCTCGTGAAACCATGTTGGAGTACGTACTGGAACTTGGTCTTTTCGGAAACAGCCATACCTTACATTGCGCGTAATATGGAAGCATACGGATCCTAAGATTTTATGAAAGCATTATTTTCCAGAAAAATTCCACTTCTGCCGCTTTATTTCATCATTTCTTTGCCCTAACGAGCCTTCTCTTAACTTAAAACATAAGTTTACCTAGTACTTCCGATTTTCACTTTTCTACTAAAAGCTCGTATTTCTAAACAACATTATATTACTTGATAAATCGTTATATACCATATTTTGAAGAACGACCATTACTTTTTTGCTGTCAGACTTTTAGAGACGCAATGTGAGCTGAGTTTGCGTAACAGAGATTATCTTGTAAAAATCCTTGTATTTCATGGATTAGCCCACCTACTGTAAGCTTAGTCTTAAAATTGTCTGGACCAAGTCAGTATATCTTTCGATTTACAAAAAAATCCTCCTTATTATGGGATCATGTAAAACTACAAAACGTCCGTAAGGCCTGATACTTTTTATTTCGGGAGAAAAAATCTCGCCACTTCAAAATCTGGAAAAATAATTCGCAATAACTACGACCTCACTAAAGTGTGTTAAACTTATTCCAGCTCCATGTGCATTTGAGCCTTCTGGAAGTCGCCTCTAACGCGGCCTGCAGAAACTCTGTGGTTGGGAATTGCACGCAAACACGTGTGTCGGCCAGAAATTCCGCCTGAGACACCAGCCAATCAGATCGTCGGGATAGCACTGATAAGTACATGTGTGACGAAGTCATTCGCTCTGTGCGGAAAGGCGCTCCCACACGGTCTAAAATCGGTCGTGCGTCCATGTCGCTAAGTACGATCAGGACCCTGTCGAGGGTAGACGCCTCCGTTTACTGCTGAAAGCTATTTTCTTCTTCTTCGAATGTTTAATCGCGGATATTCTTGTTTAATTTGAACTACCCGCAGGAGTGATTCATAATTAGTCTCGTTGTGATTTTACAGGCCAGTTAGTCCATACATAAAAGTTAAAAAAAGCGATTAATGACAGCCGTGTCTTCCTAACGGGATCCAAGTTAGAGCATGGCCACGTTGACCGGATTGAGCAGAGTCTGTGCGTCATAAAACATCCGCAACATATTCGGGGAAAATGTGGCGGTGCTACAGCCTACCGCCTCCAAACGCGAGATGGCGCAAACGTGGTCTCGCGGCGGGGACAACC